TCGGCGGCTGCGGTCCGCCGCAGGCTGGCTGCAGCCGGCGGTCCCGAGGGAGTCATGCTCGAGTGCAGAATACGCCCCTCCTCGATCCCTCTCCCCCAAGGTTGTAGCCAAATACGCTTACTTTGCAAATTATTTTACGCGTTTGTGGTTTAAATACGTCCAGGTGAGTGGTTTGCTGCGCAATTCGATTCTATTTTCTGCAATACGCGTAGGGGAGTCCTCACGAGTATGACAGAGTAGTCGTTTCAATGGTCTGTCTGTATCTTGAGATTTGGCAAATTAACAGTATTTTAAAACTGAGAATTTAAACTTACTTCAGGCTGCTCAGGAAGTTCCTTCTTCTGGGAGCAGGACCTAAAACCACCACATACATGTAGGTGAATAGGCACAGGTTTTAATTCTAGCATTTTCCCAACCAAGTTATAATGTATGCTGTGATATTGGATGTCATTATTCTTTTAATACATAATTTTATTTGTTTATTGTATTATCCTAATGTAGACAACATTTTATTCAAGCCAGTACCTGATGTCCTCAGACTACCACACTTAGTTAGTAACAGTTCATTATGTCATCAGAAGGGAGCAGATCTAATTTATTTTGAAAAATTACTGTTAAACAAGATTTCCAGATGAAGAAAACTTCAGAAATCTCGCAAAACAGGAATGGCTGATGCATGGTGAGACAGAAGACGATGTTGGAATTATTTTGTCCTCTAGAATGTTAACAGAATTAGTAAAGATGCTTGTGCGTCTTGTAATTTCTCTTATGTTGAATCATCCATTATTTAACACAAGAGCTGCAGCTGAGATGCCTTAATGAGGGACCTAGAACATGTCTGATATTTAGCGGGAATTTCATTATTAATTATAAAACAAACTAGGACAAAACTGTGAAATTAGCAGGTATCTTATTTTTGTTATACTATTTACATACTAAAAATGTCCTGCACTGTATTTGTCATGGTGGTTCATCTTTGTGATGTTTCCTACGGTCTATGAAGGTGTTATTATTTTATTTTGCCTTCAGTTGCACATTAACTACCAATAATGCATGATATTTTTGGCATCTGTGTAGAATAAGAAGGTGATGTGTTATGCAGTCGTTAGGAGAACATCATGGGGCAATGCTCACCCTTCAAAAACCAAGAGCGTTTTGGTTCTAAGAGGCCCAGACTGCCTTCTGCAAGGTGCTAAGTCACTCAAGTTCAGTGGGCTTTGACAGAAGCGCGACTTCCAAAGAATATGCAATTTCTCACAGGATTGGGATGTTGGGCCCTGATCTGCAGTGGCGCTTAGGTACCTAACTCGCATTGACGTTACTGGGAGTTAAGCACCTGAGTATTTTTGAGGCTGTAGGTTTCAACAGGTACATGAAAAATGCGGTTCGTTCTTACGCAGCTGCATGACTTCCCTTTTTGTGCTGTTGTCCTTACTTAGACTTCAACTCTGTTTTTTCCGCTGTTTGAAAGTTCTGGCTTTGGGCCTGTGCACTTTATACATACATTCAAAAGCATTTCCTTGAGCAGTTTTCTTTTTTAGCGCTGACTTGCCGGTTATCCATACATAGAAGTCTCACCGCATGAATGAGAGAGAATTCCAGCTTTAGTCTGTGGTGTTGTGTTGTCACCAAAACCAGACTGGCTTCCCATGTCATTCCTGTGAAAATAATCGGGCACAGGAGGCAAAACGGAATGTTAACTATGTCAGCCAGGCACCTGTATCCGATCTTCTGTAGTCAAATTTTATGTGTAATGTGGAAAAATGTGCATTAAAATGTTGCATAACGTCCAGTCGAGTAACTAGAAGTCATTGCTTCTGCATGTAGATAAATATGCACACAGCAGTATAGCAATTAGTACTACGCTGGTTGACTGTTAGGACCTAAATTTATCTCTAGAGAAGAGTGAAAAAACTGATAGATGTCCCTGTAACAGCAATGCTATCTCTAGGTTTGAAGAGTTTCTGGCATTGTTGTGAGTAGGAGATTCCGCATAGCTGGTCCTCGTTAGCTACTGCAGGTCGTGTTCTTGAGGCATTCTATCATTGATTCCCTTATCAGATAAGATACCCAAATATTTATGGGAGTTTTGTTTGTGTACCTGTCAGCTTGGAGGCCAATTGCTTTCTTGCAAATAAAACGTTTCCTAAGAAATGCTGATTGCTACGGACTTAACTGTTATTGTGCGTTTTGAGCTAGGATACAGGAGTCAGAGGTGCATCTTTGTTCCTTGTCCATAAGCACCAGGAAGGACAGGTTGTTCCAGGAGCGCTTGCTGAGATGCTGTGGCACCACGCTGCAGTTCTCATTCAAGGCTGAGGCTAACTCATTAACTTGAGTCTTTATTGATGGTTATTTAGGACTGTTACATATACATTGTTGCAAGCTGCCTGATCAGCTTTAAAATAATTTGAGAAAGGAAACATCATGTTAACTTTTAAGCAAAATAATAACAACTGTTGTTAAGAACTTCGTAAATTAGGTTAGAATATAGCTGTTGGTTGACGAAGCCAGTACAACTGCCAATTAGAAGTCATTCTGTACCTCATTTGTGGTACTTCTGGGAGGCATGCACGCAAGTCCTTTTGTTAACACTGGAACCTTATAAATTAGAAAAAGCCATTTCTTTTCAGTAATAAATAAAGCAAGTAAAATCTGTTGCCGTAATTGCTTAGGATATGTTACCAATCTTAGTCCCAGCTGCAATTAATAAATGAGCCTGCCTCTTGGTTATTTTTCCCCTTGCATTTTAATGTCTTAGTTCATTCTTACAAATAGTTTGTTACATCATATAGGAGAATATTATAATAGGCTGCATTGTGGTTTTTTAAATATCGTCAGTTAAAAAACCACATTCCTGAGCAAGTGAAAAGAATGCCAAGCAATTGAAAAGAACAGAGATGCTAAAAAAACTTTCAAGCTTAGGTCTCATTGCAAATCATAGTTCCACAGTCCTTCACAGGAAGGATTACATGGTTTTGTGCTTTTGAGATGCCTTTATGTGAAAATGTAAACCGAATCTGATAGGTTAGCATGTTACTGAACTTTTATTTTGAAAGAGGCAAAGTACAGCGAAGTTTATGATTTGTGTGGAAAGTGATTATTCTTTAGGGGAATAGGTGGAAAGACATTTTTGTTGGATCCTGTTGAAAATGGAGTTGTTATTGCTGTAAAATGCTAATAAAGATGTGAAGCTAGGTTGTATATATTTAAAAGCTGAACATCAAATAAAATACAGTAATCATCATAGGGGTTTTTCCTTGGAAACAGGGATGACCATTAACATTTCTATTAGTTCTGAACTATACGTATGTGGCCAGTACCTAAAGTCCTAATAGGTTTTTCTTTCCTTTGTTCTTTATTTCAACCAAGATTATCTCTGCTGCAGTTGGTGGAACTGCTCCCATTCTATGCTTTAAATAAAAGCGAAGTTTGATCTGTGGGGAGCACTGCCTGCATGAGGTGTGTAGGAACAGCTGTATTGTCATGAATACAAACAAGCAGAGACCTGCAAAATGTCCGTAAATGTAGGTCATGATTTTTCAACAAAAAATCCTTTCAACATTAACACTCTGGTTTTAGAGGTGGTGTGCTTGCTCCTTTATAAAAATATCCAGTGTTTAGCTCCTGTTTCAAACATTATGAATTCTCCCAGTGTGGATTATTTACGTAAAATTATTTCAACAACATATGTGTAAATAGTATTTGTATTCACTGAATCTTGTGTATATTTCTTCTTTGAAAGATTTCATAGTCTACTGTTTTGTGTACAAAGGGTACTTGTTATAACATGTTTTATTCAGATTTAAAGCTCAATGAAAGCATTTGAGAAAGTGGTTTTA